AAACAAAAGGAGATTTCTTGCAACAACCGGTTCTCTGAACTACTTAGAAAGTTACCAACCGGTTCTCCCCGAATAGGTGCGAACCGGCTGAATCCCACCACTGGTCAAAATGTACCACTCTGTTTTGATCTGAGGGCCACGTTCAGGACAACCTGTGATGGTTGCTGCAAATCTCTAAGAGAGTTTTGCAAGGTAGAGCTGGTCACCCTGGGACCCCAAAGGACACTGTTGGGAATGTGACAATGGCAATTGGTGCCAGTTTGGAGATTGAGTTCCATCGAAATGTCTACACCTCCTAAGAGATCTTCCCTCCAAAGCATTACTTCATGGCATTGCTTTCTCCTAGTAGGAAACCGATGAAGGAGCAGCCAGGGCCTACTAGGAGAAAGCAGAAGAATGCTGCGATTTAGCCAGCTTGGGATTGATTGACCCGGAGGTGCCTTTCAACGTTCTGCATCTTTGATCAGGGCTTGTGGTCGCCCTCAAATGCAAGGCAGAGACTCCGAGGTTCAGAGGGAGAGAGAGGTTTTAGTCGAACAGTGCTGGCATTGTAGCTGGCTTCATCCTTTTCCTTCCCCACCTCCCTCTCCACAACAGTTATTTGGGGAGGGGTGGGTGGGTGGAGAGGAGCCTTTTATATGTCTCCAAAGGTAGGGCAGGCGCCAAGTCGAAAGGATGATGTTGATTGAGGTCACGGGTGACTCTGAACCCTGCTGTTTGAAGGTCTCTCATGAGAAACGGGCTTGATCCCCGAGCTTTCGTGTAGGCAATTCCCACCGATTTCAAGGGGAAGATTGAGCCACCTCAGGACAGGAGACAAGAAAGTCTCTGCAGTTTGATAAGCCTCCTACTGGGATACTGATGTAATCTATTTGCTATTTTTCTCCCCTTCTTTTTCTCTCTCTCTAAAGCACCATCAAAGTTCCTGCTGGTTGGGTCTTGAGAACTTTGAGCCCAACCAGAGAGGAGAGGCGGAGGGGGGGGGAATGCTTTCATGGCACATCTGAAAAATATGAACCTAACCCTTTGCACATCTTAGTCTTTTGATTAAAGAGTTGGGTCTATGGAGATGCTCAGTTCTCCAGGTCATGGCTGTCCCCAAGGTGCTTTTTCAAGAGGCAACTTGGATTTTGTTATTTCATGAAGAGATTGCACTTCTCATCCAAGAAGCTTCTTCAGCTCTGACTGGATGGTGGGGGAATGGAAGGGTTTGTATTCCTTGCAGACAGCTGGTCCTTTGCATCCTTTTAGAGGGTCACCTGAGTGGTGCAAATGGTTCCTGTAGTCCGCAGTTCCCCCCTCCCCTTGGAAATCCATTCTTATTCCCACACCATTCAAAGGGCGTTCATCCCAAATTGTATTGCTAAAAGCCTAAAATGCGGTTAGGGTGCAGTACTGCAGGCCACTTCAGCTGACTGTTATCTGCAGTTCAGCGGTTCTAATCTCACCGGCTCAGGGTTGACTCAGCCTTCCATNAATGTTTCCTTCCTGCCTTCCTTACAGGATTAGCCCTGTAATGTGAGAAAAAACAAAATGAGATTTCTTCCAACAACCGGTTCTCTGCCATCATGACCAGGTGGGTAGGCGGGACTCGGTGGTCGTGTGACTGGGGGGGCGGGACAAAATCAACATCACTCAGGTCAATG